GGGGGGGGGGGGGGGGGCGGGGTTCCATCAAATGCTTCTGAGCAGTAATGTATAAATTTTTATTTTATTTTTATTTTTTATTTTGTTTTGCTGTACGTGGGCCTCTCACTGTTGTGGCCTCTCCCATTGTGGAGCACAGACTCTGGACGCACAGGCTCAACGGCCATGGCTCATGGGCCCAGCCGCTCCGCGGCATGTGGGATCTTCCCGGACCGGGGCACGAACCCATGTCCCCTGCATCGGCAGGCGGACTCTCAACCACTGCGCCATCAGGGAAGCCCCTGTGAGCAGTAATGTATACACTCAGCTGCTTTAGGAAGGTAACTTCATATCAGTGTGAAGGATATTTAGAAGAGTGGGGAAGATTGCAGGCAAAGACCTGGCAGGAGTTGGTAATCTGTTGAGTGGAGGAAGGAATCAAAGATAATTCCCAATGACCTAGGGCATTTTCATTTTCATGTAATGGCATAACTGTTCCCCCAGTCACCCAAACTAGAAACCGCAGAGCCAATTTCAGCCCCATTCTCTGTTGTCTATATCCAAGGATCCCTTTTCGAGGTCCCTAGCTCATGCCCTTCATCATACCTACTGCCCTTTACTTTCATTTAGACCTCATCATTTCTCATGTAATTACCCTAAAAGCCTCCTAACTGGTTTGACTGCCTTCCAACTCTGTGCTCTCCAGTCCATCCACAGCTCTGTGGCCTGAGAAACCTTTTTAAGGGAATAATTTCTCTGCTTAAAATCTCCACTCCCTACAGCTTCTGCCTAATCTTCCAGTTTTATCTCAGGCTGTTCCCTCACACCCACTACGCTCCAGCCCCACTGAGCTATTTGCTGTCTCCAGGGCATACTGTGTTCTCTTAATCTTCCCAGTCTTTGCTCTTTACTCTGTCTGAAATGCCCTCCTTGCCCTTGTTGATCTGACAAAACACAATTTAGTTTAAAAGTCACTTACTCAGTAAAACCTTTCTTGTCTAGCCCCAAACACCTTGAGGGTTCTTCCTCTTGAAACACACATATCACATAGCAATCTCAGTGTTGGTTTGTGTCTGTTTCTTCTACTAGAGTTGTAGGTGTTTCAAGTCAGGATCAGTATCTTATTTTCTCTGTGTCCCGGGTGCCTGAATCATAGTACTTTACTTGTACTGATATACAAGATTTTAGGGCTTCCCTGGTGGCGCAGTGGTTGAGAGTCCACCTGCCAATGCAGGGGACGTGGGTTCGTGCCCCGTTTCGGGAAGATCCCACATGCCGTGGAGCGGCTGGGCCCGTGAACCATGGCTGCTGAGCCTGTGTGTGCAGAGCCTCTGAAATGGGAGAGACCACAACAGTGAGAGGCCCGCGTAGCGCAAAAAAAAAAAAGATTTTAAAGTAAATAAGATAACCCAATTTTTCATGAAAAATTTATGGGGTAAAAAAGAACCTGTTAGTATACATGTATTTATTTGTGTGTGTGAAAGTGTTTAAATGATTTTCAGTGGTTTTGTGGAAGGAAGTAGTACATACTCGTGTTAATGGAGTATATACTATGTACAGTATATTGGGTTCTAGGAAAACACAAGTTCTGTATATTTAATTGTATACTACTAACCATGAATAAAGGTACTAAGCCACATTTTTTTTTTTTTTTTTTTCCTTGCGTTATGCGGGCCTCTCACTGTTGTGGCCTCTCCCATTTGCGGAGCACAGGCTCCGGACGCGCAGGCTCAGTGGCCATGGCTCACGGGCCCAGCCGCTCCGCGGCATGTGGGATCTTCCCGAAACGGGGCACGAACCCGCGTCTCCTGCATCGGCAGGCGGACTCTCAAGCACTGCGCCACCAGGGAAGCCCCACATTTTTTTTTAAATAGTGAAAATATTGCAGACAACAAAATGCATACACTATGCGTGAAGTACCATAAAGGCAAATACTGGTGCTGCATCTTGGTACTAGCAACTAAACAGCATGCCACAGCATCAAATAAATTTGGGGTAATTCCTATATATACAGCATATATCAGTAAGAATTGGTATAAAGCAAGCAGTTAGATACAATAAATTTAAATAAATTCCTTTATAAGAAGAAACAGGGACTTCCCTTGTGGCACAGTGGTTAAGAATCTGCCTGCCAATGCAGGGGACACGGGTTCAATCCCTGGGTCAGAAAGATCCCACATGCCGCGAAGCTACTGAGCCCACGCGCCTAGAGCCTGTGCTCCACAAGAAGAGATGCCACTGCAATGAGAAGCCCATGCCCCGCAGCAAAGAGTAGTCCCTGCTCACCACAACTAGAGAAAGCCCGCGCACAGCAATGGAGACCCAACGCAGTCAAAAATAAATTTAAAAAAAAATTTTTTTAAGGAACAAAACATACAACAAATTAATAGATTTGAAGAAATTCCAACATCATGTTCATACATAAAGGCAGATATTTTACTAAACAGTAATACATGTTGAATAACAGGAAAAATGAATATGATATAGAAGCTACTATTTTAGTGAATAATAGCTGTATACTAAGAAATGAACACTGGGTACTTCTCTGGTGGCACAGTGGTTAAGAATCCACCTGCCAATACAGCGGACACGGGTTCGAGCCCTGGTCCGGGAAGATCTCACATGGCGCGGAGCAACTAAGCCTGTGCGCCACGGCTGCTGAGCCTGCACTCTAGAGCCCACAAGCCACAACTGAGCCCACATGCTGCAACTACTGAAGCCTGACCGCCTAGAGCCCATGCTACACAACAAGAGAAGCCACCGCAAGGAGAAGCCTGAGCACCGCAACGGAGAGTAGCCCCCACTCGCTGCAGCTACGGAGGGCCCGCGCGCAGCAATGAAGACACAGACGTACATACATACATACATACATACATAAATAGATAGTTCCCTTAAAAAAATAAATGAACACTGTTTCTAAGTGTCATAAGACTTTAATCTTCACCCTCAAAACTAGAAACCCATATTTTCAAAGCTTGAAACCCATTGCCACTACTGGATTTTAGATGAGTTTCTTAATCTTAAACTTTTGCTCCATTAGAAACTGAGTCAGGGACTTCCCTGCCGGTCCAGTGGTGGTTAAGACTCTTCGCTTCCACTGCAGGGGCACGGGTTCAATCCCTGGTGAGAGAACTAAGATCCCGCATGTTGCGCGGGGCGTCCAAAAAAAAATAGAACCAGAGTCAAGGAATTCCCTGCTGGTCCAATGGTTAGGACTCCATGCTTTCACTGCTGAGGGCCTGGGTTCAATCCCTGGT